CTGCTTACACAGTAATGTTAACTTTTATGATGAAAATGTAGAGTGCTTTGGGCACTTGGAGGCTTGGTTATCTACCTACTCCAGGCTAGTTGCTGTCTGAGCTGAATATTACAAAGCAACAACAGCCAGGTTGCCGGTCTGGGGACAGGGCTTCAGGTAGAGGAAGTGGCTTACAAAGGCCTGGAAAGTTCACACCACGATCAGGGTCAGGAGGGCCACTGTCATGTTTGTGGTCATTGGGCTGATTTCTGATGCAAAAGAATTCTGTATGAGTTTGTTGTGAAAGGGGCTCCAGAATTCATGTTTTCTGCAAGAGATGAGGAAGTTACATATCACAGCATATGTTAGCGAAAGTGTCCTAGTGTTGAATTTGACAGAAGTACAGGTTTGTTGTTTTTTTAACTATTTGTATAAATGTTTTCTCATTTAGGATTGCGAGTTTAATATGAAATAGTAAGTCTGAGTTAAAGAGTCTTGAATCAAGTCCATCACATAATTGTGGCTGGTCCTAATGAAGTGTTGCTAAATGAGATTATTGGGATCATACCCCTAGGAGCAGATACAAAGGATAGCAATTTGCATAGCAGTCTCTGTATGGAAACGTGTTCCAAGGAGAAAAAGCTATGCCTCGTAGCAGACACAGTTCTTGGAATTTTGAATGCTTTGCACTTCACACGTCCCCTCGGCACTCCGACCTTCAGAATCTCCGTCTCCTCCTCAGTTCCCCTCAGCATTGGTGTTTCCTGTGTGGACAGTGACATGCTTTGCTTCCCCTCTGGCACTGTCCGCCTGTTCTCCAAACACCCGCCCCTGCTTCCAGCTGCCCGTGAAGATCGGTAACGGGAAGCAGACGGACCTTGCGCTGTGGCCCTCCCTCACTGGCTCCTGCTTCAGGATGTGAGTTACCCTGACTCTTGGTTGTATAGCGGAAGGCCTGCTTCAACCGTGAATTTGTAGTAGGTTTTCATTTTCTTGATTAGGCAGTTTAGAGACTGTTTCTCAGAACCAGTTTTTTTAATAACAGATGAAGTGAACTAGTTCTTCTTCTCTCCTCTTGTAGATTTCTTGATAACCGGCTGTTTGCTACCTGCTCTGATGACACTACAATAGCACTGTGGGATCTGAGGAAATTGAACAGCAAAGTATGCACTTTACACGGTCACACTAGCTGGGTGAAGAACATCGAATATGATACTAATACAAGACTCTTAGTGACCTCAGGATTTGATGGAAATGTCATTATTTGGGACACTAACAGGTTTGTGAATAGGAGATCAAGTTAGGGTTATGAACAGAAAAACTGATTTAAAGATGGTGAGCAAATTCTGCAACTTTCATATCTTTTTAGGTGAAAGAAAATGGCTTTGGGAAAAACAATTGAAGAGCGATTCCATCTTGTTACTTACACTTAGTCATATTTTGCTGATAAAAATTTGGAGACAATTGTATGGCTGGAAGGGAAACCAAGTAGTATATACTTCATGAAGAAAACTGGTTTATGAAACGATTTTCCTGAATTTAAGGGATTTATTGAAAAAAATTTTTGTTATTTCCTTTGTGGAACCAAAATGTCTTTCACTCTTTGATCTTTTCATTCTAAATCTGTTTATTTTTAAGTTTTGCACTTTGTTTTCATGTATTAAAAGAGTAGTTCTCAATTGGGGTGGTGCTGATCCCGCAGATGTTTGGAAATATAGTGTGTGGGGCAGTCTGGTTGTTATGGTGAATGGGGGAGAGAGGAGGATGTCTGCTGGTGTTTAGTGGGTGGGGACCAGAATATCTAAACATTTTGCAACACACAGGGTGGTTTTCATAGTGAACTAGTTGTCCCACCTGAAAAGTCAGTGTACCTCTGTTGAGAAACATTTCTGTAAAATAACTCCTTATATGATCTCCTTATGTGAAAATGATTATTTAAAGACTTGAAGCTTGAGAAATAATTACAGTATATTTGTTTCTGGCTACTATGAAATAATATACAGTGACATACCAGCATTAGTCCAAAACACTCTTTTCAGAAATCAGATAAAAGGAAAGGAGCTATGCTTCCAGATTGCTCCCTGTGCTCATTGTGTGCGAAGGTAGAGCTACATTGATGTTGATCATAGCCCTGCTTCCTGAACTCCACAGAAGGGATGTCAGAAGGAAGAATGAGAGGCTCGTCTGTAACATGACTATAGATGCAAATACTCTAAGTACAATATTAAGAAACTGAATCCTCTAAGATATTAACCAAAATCTCATGATCAAGTTGGGTTTATTCAAAGATTGAAAAGATACTTCATCAAAATATCTATTAATATAATTGATCACATTAACTGATTAATGGATAAATCCATGATTGTTTAAATTGAGGGATAAAAAGTATTGAATAAAATTCAACATTCAGTCAAAATTTAAAATAAAAAGCAGGATATTATTAAGGATGATAGGGAATACTATGATTAATTTTATGCCAATAAATTAGACAATTTAGATGAAATAAACAAATACCTGGAGAGACACAAATTACTGAAACATAACTCGAGTAAATAGAGTGTCTGTAGACCTACAGACCTATAACAAGTGAAGAAATTGAAGGGGTTATTTAAACATCTTCCCACCGTGAAAAGCCCAGCCTCGGTGGCCGCACTGGTGATGTCTACCAAACAGAGTAAGTAGCACCAATGCTTCACAGACTCCTCCAGAAAATAAAGGCAAGCACTTCTAACTCATTCTATGAGACTGATATTACTGTGCTACCAAAGCCAAAGACAGTAAGAAAATTACAGGCTCTTGAATACAGATGCAAAAGTCCTCAGCAGAATATTTGTTATTGTTGTGTGTGGTCAAGTTGGTTCCGACTCAACAGCATACTCTGTAGGGCAGAGTAGAGCTGCCCCATAGGGCTTCTAGGCTGTAATCTTGACGGGGGTGGATCACCAAGTCTTTTCTCCCATGGCGCAGCTGGTTTGTTCTAACTGTGGAACTTCTGGTTAGCAACTGAGCGCTTAACCATGGTGCCACCAAGGCTACCTCATCATGATATCAGTAAGCCAAATACAGCAATATGTATGTATATGAAGGATTATAGGTCATGACTAAGTGGAATTAATCCCGGGAATGCAAGGTTGGTTTAACCTCCACAAATCAGTAATGTAATACATCATGCTATTAAAGGAGAAACCCCACATGATTATTTCAATATATTCAGAAAAACTCTTGACAAACTCCAGCACTCTCATGATAAAACTAGGAATGAAAGAGAACTTCCTCGACCTGATAAAAGGCATCTATGAAAAACTGACAGCTAAGATCATACTTAAAGATTGGGAACAAAACAAGGATATCCATTCTAACCACTTCTATTCAACATTGTACTGGAGGTACAATATTCTAGTGGAGGTGCAGTTAAGCAAGAAAAAAATAAAAAAAGCATCCAGAAAGAAATTAAGACTATCTTCTTTACATGCAGAAGACATGATCTTGTGTGTAGGAAATCTTAAGAAATACAGACATCCTTGCACATATGAACCTTAGTGGAACTAATAGACAAGTTCAGTAAGGTCATACAATATAAGATTAATATACAAAAATCAGTTGAATATCTATTTCTTAGCAATGAACAGTCCAAAAGTGAATTAAGAAAATAGTTCCATTCCCAATATCATCAAAAAGAGTACTTAGAATACATTTAACAAAAGAAATACAAGATTTGTACACTTAAAACTGTGTAACACTGCTGAAAGAAATTCAAGACATGTCATTGGATAAAAGACTTGTGAGTTCAAGGGAATTAGAGGCAGATTAAAAAAAAGATAACAGCCATGCAGTGACAGTGTTGTAAAATAAGTTATTTATGGGACTGGCGCAGTGACAAGTTTGTATAAGGGGAAGTCCCTGGTAGCATGAGCCCTTCCAAGGTAAGGACTCGGGGGAGGGCAAGTTGGAAGGGGGGTTGGAGAGGAGCAGGTATGCGTGTCGAGGTGATGTTGCTCAGCAGCACTGTGCGTAGTTTCTGACTCAGACAAATACAAAGGCAGCGGCAGCTTGGGGTCTTACAGCCCAGGGTCTGTCCTACTTAGGGCTAACTGATGTTGGGTGCAATTTCACAGGTAGGGAAAACAGGCAGGCTCTAAATGGCTGCACACTTGCTGATGTGGGCTATACTTAAAAGTGAGTGTATAAGAATGTGAGTTTGGTGCCCATAAACTTCAAGCTTACAGGTTCCAGCCTACTGTGAAAAAATAAAGACGCTGGTCAGTAGTCAATAGACAGAGTCCATCTTTGGCTCATTTATGTAACAGACATTCCATGTTCATATGGGAACACTGAATATTATTAAGATGGCAATTCTCTTCAAATCTTGAACACAATCCCTATCACGGTATCAGGAGTGACCAGTCCCTAGAGAAGGACGTTGTGCTTGGTAACGTGGAGGGTCAGCAAAACAGGAGGAAGCCTCTCAATGAGATGGACAGATACAGTGGCTGCAACAATGGGATCAAACACAGCAATGCCCGTGAGGGTGGTGGGATGAGGCCATGTCTCGTTCTTTTGTACACAGGGTCACTTTGAGTTGGAACTGACTGAACAGCAGCTAACAACAGCTGCCAGTATTCCAGCTGCATTTTTGGCAGAAATTGCCAAGCTGGTTCTAAAATGTATGTGGAAATTCAGAGCATCTAGAGTAGCCAGCACAGTCTTGAAAAAGAGCAGTGTTGGAAGACTCCCACTTTGTACTTCCAAACTGATTTCCAAGTGTTCGGTCCCCTAGTGCTGCTCTGACAAGAATATACCATAAATGGGATAGCCTTAACGAACAGGAGTTTATTATCTCACAGTTTGGAGGCTTTAAGTCCAAGTTCAAAGTGCCAGGTTCTAGGGGCTGGGTGAAAGCCCCTCAAGCTTGGGGTCCAGCTCTGCCTTCTGCTCCTGGCCCACTGGAGCTGGAGGCATTCCTTCACTCAGACAGCTGCTGGCTGCTGAGGCTGACAAGCCCAAGGTTGACAAGTAAAAAGGCACAGTCCCGATGTTACCAAACCACACGGCAGGCCATTAACTTAAGTCCATTGTAAGTCGTCCCAAGGTTGGCAGAGCATAGCAGGCTGCTGAGCAATGACACGGGTACATGCAGGGTCCAAGTGTGCCATAGGCTAGAGACCATTCCCAAGGCTTCTCCTTATATACAGGAAGCAGACTATATCCCAAAGGCAGCTACTCAGCTGCTTGTGGTAGATCCCCCCATGGAGCTGATTGCCAGTCTCATCATGAGGAATAACTACCACCAGCTGCCCAGCCACTCAACTAGGCCCAGCCAAGTTGATACACAAACATAACTACCACACCAAGAGACAGTAATTACAACAATGCTGTCCTGGCAGGATAGGGATACATATTGGAACAAAATTGAGAGTCCAGGAATAAACTGCCTTATATTTTGGGTTAGCTGATTTTCAACAAAGGTGGCAAAGTAATTCAGTGGGGAAAGGATAGTCTTTTTCAACAGATGCTTGGGCCATATAAAAAGATGAATTTAGGCTCTTAGTTCAAACTGTGCACAAAACATTAACTCAAAGTGGATTTTGGCCAAAGTGTAAGAGCTAAAACTATAGAATTCTTAAAACATGGGAGTAAATCTTAATGACTTTGGGTTCAGCAGAGATTTCTTAGCTATCACATCAAAAGCCCAAGTAGTAAAAGAAAAATTTGTTAAATTGGACTTCATCAGAATTAAAAAACTTTTTTTTTTTTAACTTGTAAAGATATTAAAGAAGTAAAAAAGAAACGCTACAAATTGGGGGAAAATATTTGTCAAGCATATCTGATAGAAGACTTGTATCCAGAATACATAAAGAGCTCTTACAGCTGAAGTACAAGTCAAAAATGACCCATTTAAAAGACGGCAGAAGATTTGGGTACAGACATTTCACCAAAGAAGATAATACAGCTGACCAAAAAGCACGTGGAAAGATGCTGCACTCACTAGCCACTAGGGAAACAGACATCAAAACCACAGTGAGAAAGCAGCTCACCCCACTAGAAGGGTTTTAATAAAAAAAAGACAATAACATGTTTTGGCAAGACTGTGGCAAAATTGACACTCATACATTGCTGGTGGGATGTAAAATGGTGCAGCCACTTCAGACAACAGTTTACAGGTTCTTAAAGTGTTAAACATAAAGTTACTGTATAACCTAATGATTCCACTGCTAAGTATATACCTAAAAGAAATGAGCCCATACTGTATCTTCAAGTAGAATGCACCCACATATGTAA